ATCCTCTATTGAAACTGTGTGAATAGGAACATATTCAAGCTTCCAAATATATTTTCTTCTAAGAGTCTAAAGGCTGCAGGGACTTTTCCATTCCTAATTATATAGTGCAGTATGCTGTCTGTTTCTGACTTGCAACTTYAAAAATAGAACTTAGAGTCATAAATGAAACACAAGGAGAGGGATAAAAAGATGCTGTATATGATAAGAAAGTGCTCTGCTAATATTTTACTGATGTTGTAGCCAGTCACTTGGGTTTTAAATTCAATGACTGTTATCCAAACCCTTTAATACACTGGCATTTCATTAAGAGGCTGCTTTAAAAAAAAAAAATCTGTGGGTAGCTAAAGCAGCAGTAGCAAAAGGAGCATGAATGTAAGTGTCTTACGACTGTTCTGTAGCTCTGCTGGTTGTGACTCAGGTCTCAGCAAGGTCATGTCTCTAACAGGATATGGAAACAGAGTCGTTTCAGGCAATAACACATTCTGAAATTCAGAAGTATTTCCTAAAACCTGATTTATTCTCTGATAAGATGAGCTCCAATCTCAGTTCTGCAAGTGAAATAAAGCTCAAACCCCTCTGGTGGCACACCTGCAGATCATGGTGGTGGGATCTATAGCCCCCCTGGATGTGATCTGAAATTGTTGACTGCATGGTAGTAGGCACTTTTAGCTCCAAAACCGTCACTGGACTCCTGGTACACAAAGGAGGAATTTAATTTGTCCTTTTTTATTTCTCATGCAACCTTTGGGAGACCAAGAAGGACTTAGTGCTGGCATGTTCCTGAATATGGGAATGAGCAATGTGACTGGGACTSCTCTGATCCAGAGCAAGTGAGCTGGATCCACACAAGCAGGCTTTTGATGATTTTCTTCCGCCTTTTGCCATTTAGGCAGGAATGCACTAGAGATCACCTTTCACTTGTGAGAATAAGTGACTGTTTTCTATGCCCAAAATACTAAAAAAAATTCAAAGGAGTGAACCATGGAGGTAACCAACACAATTTCAGGTCCCTCTCCAAACCTCACACTGGCATGTGTGGGCTGAAGACAGGTGGTGTGCTACAGGACAGACTGGGTTTCCATTATGTTGTAGTAAAATCAACACACATACTTAATGAGAAATATTTTTTTTTTTTTTATTTTGGTCTCTAAGATGATAATCATGCCAGCTGCTGATAGAAGTTGTGAGGCTGCAGAAGCACCACACTACGCTCGAGCAAGCACACCCTGCTTTTCAGCAAGGATTGTTAGCTCAGCCATCCAGCAGCCTTTGGGCTCCTGGGACCAGCACACTGAAACTGGCTCGCCAGTGCAGGGGGAGAAAGCATCTGCCTGGGTGTATCTGGTTAGGGAAATGCTGTGCAAGACTTGAGTTCCTGTCTTTGCTCACACACACACTGTGTGTGTTCCTGCCTTTGTGCTTGGTTGAGGTGTTTGCCTTTTGCTTCTGAAAACTTGTTGCAAGGGTGAGTGCAGCCAGGAACAGGCAGGGWGTTGCTTTGTTTGGTTATCCAGTGTTTATGCTGAGTATGCCTGGGGGTTGCAGTGAGGGCTAGTCCCTGTTTGAGATGAGCCAAGAGGGTGTAGACTCTCCTCTGGAAAGCTTATTTGGACTGGAAACAGGAGACAAAGGAAGTGGGATTCAGGTGAGGTTTTACTCCTACATTTGTAGGCTATGTAAAAAGATCCTGAAAGAGGCTGCACATGAAGAGTTAGGATGGCACCAGGCCAGCATTATTGGGCGAAAGCTTGTATTTTATTGAATTTATTTCATTCCAGTAGATTAATGCCATTGATTCAGAGGCTTGAAGGATGATGTTTTTCTCTCAGAAATGAAACATTGTGGATTTAGTCCTTATTTATTTTCCTCAGAACCAAAGATAATTCTGCTCTTGCTAGAAGTATAGGTTAGATTCAATACTTCAAATTGTGTCTTCATGTTAAATATAGCTGGATTACCATTTTATTGCACCAATATTTGCACATATTTTTAAATCAAAACCAATTGTAGGATTTCAAATTTTTGAAGTTCAATTCTAATTCTGCTGTGTCAKTCATAAGTTAGAATCCTCCCAACCATAGCTTTTATCAAGTAGTATTTTCAGTAGTAACCATTGAATTAGATATTTGGAATTTCATTGTAACTTACATGCATGTAAAATTTTGAGTTAGGATTGGCTATTACCTTCATCAGACGTTTTCATAGGCAYTAGTTCTCCTCCAGTTTGCAGAAATACAGAGGGATTTTCTTCCACTCATAAGTTTTCTATCTTTATTTTTAAAATAGATATAGAAATAGGTTTACATTACAGTATTAGAAAGGGGTATGAAAGTGTACATGAATTTGCTACAGAAATTGTATCGTGTCTCTAAGGATCATTATACATAAGAAAACTATGCCCTAAAGTGCATACATGTCATTGGTGTTTGATGTTAGCTCTGTATTCTGTGATTTTAAAGACAGATCTTAAGACTGCAGTAGTAAATGTGTTATCCTTTATTCTGAATTCTTAGTGGAAATTTAAATAAAATGTATTATTCCTTGGAAGGAAGTTATATGAACTCTAATTAATGGACTAGGCATATTCTTTTTAGGTCCGGTAATGTAATTTTATTTGCTGATCTCTTGAAGAAAAGATATTAATGAATCCTTTCAGCTTGCCACCTTGTGTTCGTGTGTAAAGTGCTGTGCTCTTGTAAGTTTTGGAAGAARGTATCAACACTTTTTTAGGGAAACTTTGGCTAAAACGGTTAGACAAAGGAGGAACAAAGGAATAAGAGAAAGTTTAGTGTTTCTCTGTCTTACTTTTGTAGCCCACCTGATATCTCCACACTGATATATGGAGGTATATATCTACCTGATATATTCCGTAGCCTTGCACTCATTTTCCCATAATACCTGTTTTTACCTTGATTTCTAAGCTCTAACTAAACAATTAATAAAGTCTGTATCAATTTGAGTTTTGCTGAGGAGGCAACTAAAATAACCAGTTAGCTCTGCTTGGAAAAAATCTATTAATGTTGGCCATTGTGCAGTGGAAGGCATGGTGGCTGTGAAAAGCACGATTCCCCTGTTAACACCAGTTAACATTGAGGTATCAGATGATGATTAAAACCCGTGGATTACTGCAGGATTTAGTGTCATGATGTTGATCCACTGAGTACAGATTATTCCCTTGTTCTCCTGTCTATAGCTGGTTCCAGCTCGCTCTGTCATGGAGCTGCAAGTGGGTTAATGTGTGTTGGCAGCACCATTTGGTCTTCTGGGGCTCTTAGCTGCCTTGCTACGCTGCTTTGGRTTTCCCTCCAGGGCACCATATTGCACAGAACAAGGGAACAGAATGATCATTACCAGTTGTCACCTATTATATGTCCAGTAAGTGCCTAAGGATTGTACTCGTCTTGTTTGCTTACAAGTTGACTGAAGCATTTATCAGCTTCTCAAGGATGTCTGCATGGTTTCTTGAAAACAGTAAAAATCAAATTCTGATTAATAYAGTGAAATTTTAGCCCATAAAAGTAGGAATTTTTCCTTAATATAAGTCCTTATTTGCTTTGAAGATAGCAACAACTATCAGTAAACCTCTGAGTCCCTGACCTTCCCCCCGCAACAACAAAGAATCTCTCWTATTTCTGTCAGTTGTAACTGTTTTGGCATGATTGTTGGACATAACTATCCAGGGTCCAGTAGCACAGTTTGATTTGGGTTGGAAGGGACTTTAAAGATCCTCTAGTTCATTTCCAGCCTTGGGCAGTGACACCTTCCATCAGACCAGGTTGCATAAAGTCCCTTCCAACCTTGAAAACTTCTGGCACTGGAGTAAACCATTGAGTACTTCTTCTCTGAAGGGAAGCATCAACTTTATGTCCTGTCCAAGTCTGACCAGTTTCAAATACCTGTGTTCATTTCTRTTGATTTGGGTTTGTTTTAAACAGAAACAGCTGGACAAGAACATGACAAAAACCATCTGAAATTCTGAGTTACTGATAAATTTAGTAAAACTTTATTCTCCCTCTATGTGTTAACACTCCTGATCAATACCCAGCTCAAGTGTTCTTTTGCCATAAAGAGTAACATTTGATAGTTGATTTTCATGTATAGAAACATAGCAGGAATGGCAATGTTTTTAGCAACCCATATTTGCTTCGGTGATTGTCCTTTCAGACATGCAGAAGAACACATTCATTTACAATATGCCTTTTGCTTCTGTATCCAAAATATTTAGAGGCATCTCACAATGAGAGCAGGAAGTCTCAGTTAATCTAGTTTTTTGGAATTTGCTCATTTCTCTTGCTCTCATTTGCAAAGAATGGATGGCCCACTAGCTAAGTCATTAGCCTGCTGCTTTGGAGATGCATTTTACTGCCCTTATCTGGTGGATTTCCTTTCCAGCTAGGGCAAATCTGTCAGATAAGGACATCTGACCAGGACATTGAGGGTGGTTTTATGTGCATCCACAACTGTTGTAGTAAATGCTCAAAGTAGGCTATAAGGGATTAGTATTTATTTATTAGTATTCTAATTAAATAAAAATGGTATTGCCATACAGCACATCTTGTGGCCTACAGTCAGTGTTGAAAACATAAAAAATTTAACTTGAGTAAGTTCTTTAGCATCAACCATTCTCTTTTAAATTGTCTGCTTTTTTTTTTGTAGGACAACATTTTTGCTCTGACAACTTTTGTATTACACTCTGTGSTTTCCTTAACAGCAACTATAGTAGTAATAAGCATGCAGCATAAGTGTTTTAAATCAATTATATTGTTTAGTCAAAATTGTTTTAATGAAGTCTGTAAAGACAAGTTGTTTATTAGTGATTTCTGTCACGGTAGTGGATCTAATCCCAATTTATGAAGGAGGATGGTAGGTGTGAGTGATTAGGTACACTCCAATTTGACTCAGGTATGTCTTTTGGAAGGACTGAGTGCTCTTGTCTCCTTGCTTGTGAAGCATATTGCACTGTGTCTGTCATCTGGCAGACTTGGACTTGATGATCCTTGTGGGTCCCTTCCAACTCACCATATCCTGTGTTTCTGTCATTCCCAATGAAGTAGTCTGCATTTTACAGCACTACTGACAACACTGTTCAGTCCAAGGTAAAAGCTGAAGCATTCAGTGCCTGTGGTTCTTTGTTTTTCTTGTAGGGTCAACGATTGTATCCTGCGAGTGAACGAGGTTGACGTGTCAGAAGTGTCCCACAGCAAAGCCGTGGAGGCCCTGAAGGAGGCYGGTTCCATAGTGCGATTGTACGTCCGACGAAGAAGACCGATACTGGAGACCGTGGTAGAAATCAAGTTGTTCAAAGGACCTAAAGGTAGATAACAAAACACAAAGATGTCCATTTTAAACTTGATGTTTAACCTTTCTTATAGCTTAAATGGCATATGACTTCGTTGATTGGCAAACTGGTTGACTTGTCAAATATTGAAATATAGTTCACTTAGGCTGGTAGAACTTGAATCCATGGTTGCATCTCTTCCTGAAATATAAATGAGTTCAAGGAGTTGTGGTTGCTTCGTTTGATGTTTACAGCAGRGACGGCTTGTTACCTTCTGAAGAGACAATGAGATACCATGCGTTAGGTTGGCAGTACATATACTACCTCTAAAGTTCCTCTACTGAGACCTCTGACTTTCATGTAAGGTGCTGTTGAATGCAGTTTCATTTTTCTTCCCTTTCTCATTGCTTTTTGATTGTCCAGATTATCCTCTCTTTCATGATAGTTTCTTCTAGAGTTATCTTTGGAACATGAAGACAAGAATACCRACTTACCCAGACACATAGGAGAATTTTATTTTGTCTTTCTACACAATTRCATGAAAATCTAGCACAAAACCTTCACTAGCCTAAATCAGCTTCCAGCAGAATCTTCTGGTTACAGAACAAAAAGCCAAATTCCTTTCTATAAACATTTTTCCTCATAGCTAATTTCTGGACAAAGAAAATGCATATTTTTACAGTATATGTTAATAGAATGCACAGCAGTAGAGCTTTTGGATCCATAATAACTATTTCATAAGCAGGTCTTTGATAAATATATATATATATATATATATATATATATATATATATATATATATATATATGAAAAGAAGACATTTGCATGTATCTTAATATATGCAGCACACATGAGATTACTCTCCCTGTTTTATCTCTAGTGAATAATCTGCAGTTTTTTCAGTGTTTTCCCCTCTACATGTCCTCATGTGCGTATTACAGTATACTTYTCCATAGGGTTTTTTATACCAGTAGTGGAGTATATTTAATATATTGAGACGTATTGTTGAGATGGACCTCTCATACTCAACAAAGACAGTGCAGCACTGGAAAGCGTGCACTATTTGACACTGCAGTTTATTCAGTATGCTGTGCTCTCGGAGAAGAGTAAAATATATTTAAACCTGCATCTGACAGTAAATTCCCAGAAGCCTGAATTCTCGTGGTCAGCCACAATGCTGGATTGTTTTTCTAATAGAAAAGCGTCTCTAATGGTACTTTGTATGCATATGAACTCAGAGTAGAAGTGCAGGCAGTGTTTTTAAAGATTTTGAATTAAACGGTGTGATATGATAGTCATTTGGAGAGACCTAAGGCTAAAGAAACTAAAATTAACATGTCCTCTCTGATTGTGATGACACAGTAAAAATTTTTCACCGTGACCAAATTTTTGCTACATTGTGGAAATGGACAAGACAGGCAATCATTATCTAATAATGGGTTTGCATTGTGTTTGTTTTGAGTGTGTGTCTGAGACTATTTCTTTTTACAATTATTTTCATAAAACAGAGTGAATAAAAAAAAAGTGCCTTTTATGGCAAAGTAAAGAACTTTTGCTGCTTACTGCTGAAAACATGATTTTGTAGCTATATTCTTACATGAMGTCTACTACAGATAAGTGCTATAAATAATGAATTTTATTGTTAAGTTGGATTTTTTTAACATTYTCACTTTTATAAAAACAAGTTAACTGGAAACTTGGATAAAAAATAAGTTGATGATCAGGTTTTCTGGAAAAGCCAGGGGTTTTACCTTCATAATTCAGGCAGTAAGGAAGCATGGTCTATATGCGTTCTGTATTCCACAGATGAAAAAGCAAATGAAGGAAAGTAATAATTAATAGATGAGAAGAAAATATTATCAATACTATTTTAAATATCTATAGCACTTTTCCTTTGATTTTTTTCAAAATATTCCATGAAAAAAATTTTTCTTGAGACGCATCAAACTCAGCAGAAGCTGAGAATAAAACCTGTGACTTTTGGCCTGTAGTCACTCCTGTGGTGTTTATCTCCTCATATTTTAGGTGATTTATCTGTGAACTGCTCTTCCACACCATTACTATGCAATGTAAAAACCACTTAGTATTTATATAAAATGTTTCTTACTTTTCAGAGTGAAATTGGAATATTTTGGTGTCCAGAGCAGGACYTGAAAACCATCATGGTGGCTTCCACACTATTCCTTCTTTCCTATTCACAAAATTAATAAAGAAAGTAAATCWGTTTTTTAGACAAGAAGTTTGTTCCACACCAAACTTGGAGCAGCAAATACCTTTTCAGTTCTTCCGACTGTCTCTGTCAGTGTATAACCCAGCATTTACTGAGTTCATTCCTTACTGCTCTGAGARTATACCACATGAAAGCAAGCCTTGGCTTCCATAATACCAAGTCAACTCAGAGATCCCTGGCTTGCCTGTCTATGTGTAGCAGATTATATCTTTCAACMCTTGAAAGTGGTAAAGAAGGAAATTTGCAAGGCTTTTTATGTAAAGATCCTTTTAATTTCACCTGGGATATTCAGAATGAGGGCTTTAACATGTTAGTATCCACAGAGGTTAGCKGGGTTGTTTGAATGGGTGTTAATTTATGTAGCTAGCAACCACCATACAAAAGACATTGGTTAATTTGGTATTAATTAATATGGTTCAAAATATATTTTGAACATAAGATGTTAAATAAGCATTGTCTGGTGATGGCTTTGGACGTATGACAGGGGAAAGGGCATGGTGGAGTGCTGCCAGGAGGTCCCTTCTTAATGCAGATCCCTGTGCAGTTGTTCCTGTTGCTTTACAAAAAGGCTCTCCTAGCATCATATGTGCTAAACGATGTGTGTAATCCTCTAGTTTAATTTTTTGGGGGAAAAGAGGTAAGCAAAGACACAAATGAGTTGTATCATCAAGGGCTGCAAGAGAGCTGCAGCTGTAGAGACATTTAAAGCTGATCATCACTTTGACACACCTGATTGCTAATGTTGGCAGATAGCTTTAGCCTGTGTCTTGAAGGTGATTACTGACTGTCATCCTCGCAGGGTCTTCTTTTCTTTCACGTGCTTGGGATGTCTTGGTCTTTTGTATGCCTCTTGCATGGTTTTGCAAAGGATTGAGTAGCCCACAGTGTTTTATTTCAGTCGCTCCCAGGGCGCTGCAGGTTTTAGCAGCCAGCATCTCTGCAGGGGCTGACAGCTGTAACAGAGAAAAGATGTACGTGCAGCTTTCTTATGGAAAATCATTGGGATTCAGACWCCACTGAAAATCCTGTCATTAAGTCATGTGCTTTTCTTGCTCTGTATTGAAACAAGACTAGCAGTAATTAAAATGGATTGTGTATGCTGCAGTATTCGTTCCTGGGGAGCAAACAAGCAGATATTCAAAACAAAGCAATTTAATGGTGCTTTGTAATGGCTTTGTAATATAACTTGTGCATTGGTTTCCTGTAAGATCCTGCCAAGAACTGTATATGGGCAGTGAATTGTGAACTTCAGTCACTCTTCAGGGATTACAGTGTTCAATCCCATTTCATTGCATTTGACTGGAGGATTTTAAACCAAAGTAGTTACACTGACTTCAAGATTTTCATGCTGTCCTATCCGACTTCAAATTCGCTTTTACTAAACACAGAAGCATTGAGTAGTATGCTGATGCACAATTAGTTATAGGAATTAAACTTGATTTTTTAAAATGTAATTTTAAAATTATCAGCAGAAAAATGTATTTCTACCATTGTAAAAAATTTCTGGCAGACAGAAACCTGGATAAACACAGAGGTCATGTAATATGTTAACTACCCACTGACTGATAATTTAAACACTGATATGATGTACCAGAAAAAAAAAAGAATAAAGGCAGAAAATAAGGATTCTAGTGACTACAGCAGTGTTGGATCAGATAATTAACTTTTGACCTCCCTTCTATAGGAAATGTGGTGTCTTAAAAGACAGTACTTTTACAGTACAACTGCAGAAATGAAGTTCAGGGTATGTGAAGTGGAACAGAGTACCAGGAAACTTGAGAGGAGAATGTCAGACTTAAGAGCACCCAAAAAAGGAGCAATATAAAGGACAGCTAATTTTGCTATCTGGATATTCGGTTGGCTTGTGTATAAAGTCATAGATAAAGAGAATTACTTTCCCACACCCTTCATKATAACAGTGCCTATCATTAGAGTGTTTGAACTGTGCAGGAATCTTGCTGCARTACTGGAGCTGCCCTTTTGGTCACTGCATTTTAGATAAAAAGGCTCTGGACAGACCAGCAGCTCYGTTGCTTTTTTTGTTTTCCATATGCATGCTTTTTGCTCATTCCTGATGAATTCAGCCAGTGACACATTCTCATGAGTTTCACCCCACCCTGTTCTGGGCTCTTAACAAAGCATGCTTAGGACCACTTATTTCTCTAATGTTTCTGCTCTCAGACTTAGGGCATTTTCAAAACCTTTCTTTTAATCCATTTGGAGTGTTGTTATGTTTTGGGGCTCTAAATTAAAAATTAATGCATCTCTTAAGCACTCTTCAGCCCAATTCTGTGTCTCCCTCTGGATGGCTATACTTCTTATCTTAACTTTCTTAATCAGCAAAGGCTAAGCTCCTAAACCAGACATCTCAACAGAATATTCAAAAATAACACGTGATTAATATATAGGGCATAGTGTGCATTCATTGTGAGAGCTATGTATATCCRTTTAAAAGTTAGACTACGTCACTGGGCATAACCAGTTCCAGAGTTTCCATTTCGTTGTGTTCTGTGCAGAACTGAAGAAGAGGACTCTGTGGCACATGGTAGATTTCCTTTTCCCATAACTGGTGGTTTTATTCTTGATGACACTGCATGAAGTTAGTGAATGGTAATGAAGCTTTCTTACTATGCTAAAAAAGCAGTATGGTTWAAGTAGTGTATTTTTTAACTCTCTRTTCAGTTATGGGATTTTCTTGAGAAGATGCAGAGATTTTTCACCTTCAATATAAGGTACGGTTTCACTGTAGATTTATCTTGGATTGTTACTGAAATRTCCTGCAGTCGATTACTGTCTGTAGTTTCCT